GCTTTCCAAAAAATAGTAACACTCAGGCGCTGGTAAAAGTTAAACCTTATATAGCTGGTGATCGAATATCCTTTGAATCCTGGACCCTTTGATACTCGCAAGACGGATGTAAGCGCAAGCCGCCAAAGCTCCCGTTTTTAGTGAACTAGGATCACTGAAGCAGTATACTGAGAAATGGCAATAATGTCTACCGCCTACCAGTCAGTAAGTGCCCATTCTATAGGGAACCACAGAAGGATACAAAGCTGTCTTCCCGACACGTTGATTTTAGCCATTTCATCCCATATATCCGGATCATCACACTCTTCTTCAAAAGTTGCAAGTTTAGCAAGCACTAAAAGGAGCAAATGAATTGCACAACATCGAATGGGTAATGATGGAACTCACATGACTGAATACGTTTTTCAACTGGATCATCCTCACTAAAGAAAGCTGGGGTGAAACCATTTGAAATGGAAGTGAAGTTGCTGTAGCCACTCCCGATACTAATAATTAATACTACATCTCCAGTGACATTTCTGCAGAAAAGAAAGGTGAGAAACCAAATACCTCATTGACACGTACTCGTCAGTAATGTCGCTCAAAGATGCAAACTCGGACGACAGAAACTGTATGAGTTCAGCGACGGATGCCATAATCTGAAGGCCAAGCTTGAGGCAACAAAAGTTATCTACATAACCTGAACAAAACTCGACCAAGTAGAACGCAAAGTCGATTTTGGCAATATACACTCTTTAGTATAATAGTTGTGCTGAACACTAGGCTATGGACTATGTAACAGGAAACAACACATTTCTTTCGAGAAAGAAATTACGAAAATGCAACATCTTCCAGTTATAAAGCTTAACAATAGCAAAACTGAGATGCTATAAAACTTGATAGGCGACCATAATTTTGCTGAAGACAACAGCTACTCTTAGATCCTTCGATCAGATTAGAGTTTTTGTAGGTTATTCCAGGGGATATAATGAATGCGAGTTTTGCAAGACCTTTGACAAAATCTCTCTAGATGTTCTTTTTTGGTAGCAACTGTCCTAGGCACACGCATA